AATGTTTTCTTGTGAATTTTGAGAGAGAGGGAGAGGAGGGAAAGAAATGAGTAATTACGTACCTGAGAGCCCATAAACGAAGGTAAGAGGCAGTGTTGGAGACAGCACCAAGCACAAACTCGATGGTGTGAATGAGTTGGTGAACAAATATTTCACTGAACTCAAACTCCTCATGCTCGTGCGATTCTTCACTTGTTTCCACTTGTAGACTGTTGTCGTCTGTCTCCTCAAGTTGCGCGTACGAATGCCCTTGGTGCCTCTGCATTCACATTACATCCCATTACAACATTGTTTTTTTCCCTTCCTTTTCTCGGGAAGATTTCAAAGGGAGTTCTTATGCCACCTTACGAAGATACCACAGTGTCAACCCATTATCTACTAGCACAATCCTTAAAAAATAGAATAAAGTTGAAGGGGCAGAAAAGGTTCTTACAGTTTCATGCTGTTTCTTCAAAATGAAAGGCTTTGGCAGCAACATCCACGGAACAGAAACAAGAGCCAGCAAGAGAAGCACAAGCTGAAATGGGAAGGAAATATATTAGATTATTCAAACGTACTAACATGCGTTAAATCTTGTGAAAACTTGTATTGAATTTGGGAGAAACACAACCTGCACTGTTTTCTGATAAGGGAAGACCTGGTTCTCCCCTAACTCGTCAGTCGGGCTCAGGAACATGTATATCATAACGTGGTACAAATCCGCTTGAGAACCGGTGCACCACTTGATGATGATGAGGACCGAGAGATATCCAAACAAGCTGTTCAAGAATATCATCTGGGGAATGAACTGGAACCTGGAAGCATTGACTGCCATGTTTACGCGACTGATCTAATCTTTACAGAAAGAATACAAGAACTGAAGCATTTGTTCCATAACAGAAAATCAAATAAACCCACCATATGTTCACACCAATTCCAAAGAATTTCGCATTAAAGTAGCTCATTATGATCCCCAGGTTCATTTGAGCGACTCCGAGAAGGATTGACATTTTCATCTTCAGTGAATTGAGGAACGGCAACTCACTGCGAGTACCATGCCATACGGGGTCTACACCAAATGGATAAGTGTCTCGAACCTTGATCAAACCGATTGTAGTAGCCTCACTACACAGAGCATAAGACAAAATCAGAAGAGCAATGGTATTCTGTCACAGCTAATACGCTTGTGAACAGGGGGCTCTGAAAAACTATTCTACAAAGTACAAACCTGCAAGAGGTATCACGGCAGTCATATGCCGAAGGAGCAAATAATGGGAATGGCACAGAGAAGAATTCATTGTAGATTAAACCGGTGAATATTGAGAAGAGTGACATCATGAAAATAACATAACGGCCACCGAAAGTCATTTCTGTAATATCCCCGAGTTTCTGTTGTCAGGAAGCAATGATTGAATGGGTTAAGCTTCTAACCTCGCAAGAAATAAAAGCATCTAAAAAAATCAAAGTAACAATTACAGAAATAGCGAAGTCGAATAGGATAGCGTGCTCTTGGAAATTTCAACATGACTTTTCTGTCGTTTCGTATTTGCAGGCAGCTTGTAATTTCATTTTAAAGATGAGAACCAGTCCTATAGCGTTCTGAAAGTCGTAAAATAGGAGACACGGTACGGAAATTACCTGGCTGGAGAGTTTCTTCTCTCTCACTATAAAATACAAAGTTGCAAGCAGCAAACATATTCCATGTCCCCAATCACCAAACATAACAGCAAAGAGAAAAGGGAAGGTAACAATTGTGTATACACCAGGATTGGCTTCCTGATACTTGGCGATCCTGCAATGTGGTGATCAAAGCCAATCAGTTTTTACATCTAGTTTAAAAAATGATACACCTCAGCATGAATGCAAATGCACAAGGATGTATAAAAGAAATCACCATGCACAAAGTAATAAATAACAAGAAACGGTTTCCAAAAAGTGAAGAGAACGTTTGTTCATCTCTTTGTTCCACCAGTAAGCCTAATAATTTCTGTGATGGCTAATTCGTAGTACCTTAATTAGGGACAGAAACCAGTAACATAATTAATAATCTGAATTACGAGACAAGAGCTAATAGTATAAAGCTAGAGATAGATGAAACCAACTCCAACACACAAATAAATATTCTGACAAGTAAACCTAAGCAAGCCCAAAATCATGGAATTATCCGCTAATCCTTTATAACCAACCACATGCTATACTTTTCTTATCACACTTAGCCCATCTCTGTTTTCCTCTATTTTCCCAGCAAGCATTGATCTCTACAGGAAGAAACATACCCATACGCATCAACAATTTCCTGGAATGCGGAAGTAAATTTGTTTGTGCGAAAATAAGTTGGGGGCGACTCTTTGGTCCTCAGGACTTGGAAAATGGACCCAACTTGAGAGTTGGAGTCAACTGCACCACGCTGCAACGCATCTTGAATCTGCACATACAAGCGTGATCCAACACAATACATCAAAAGTACACTCAGTATTGCCCAAGAAATAAACTGATCATTGTAATTAAATGCGATGAAGGGTACAACTCACATCATTTGCTGCAAAGACTGGACTCCATCCCTCGGCCACGAGACACTTCTTTGTCACATCAAGACTAAGCATGTTCAAAGTATGATAGATGGCTTTTTCTTTGCGGACCTGTAACATGTCAAGATAAACGACTATTGGCCTTATCTGGTATGAAGATGATTATGGGTCTAGACTGTCCAAAGGGAAGCAAAAGAAAGAAAAATATAAATGGGATATTACCTTGACATTCCATTGCTCAAACTTATCCGCAATGATCTCTAGCAGATTGTTCCGGTGACCCAGCCCAGCGTCAATTGTGGTATTAATCTCCGCCAATTTACCGGAAACCTAAAAATTACGGGAAAGCACAAAATCGTTAGATGATATACATTTTCATCATATGGCCCATACACCATTGTAAGGGACAGTGACATCATAGCGCTTCTAGGCCTAGACCTGGATAATAAAAGAGTTTGACCATGTCACTAAAAAGTTTTGTAAGCTAACACGGACTAAAAATGGGACAAACCTACTTTTGCCAGTAAATCTAACCATTAGCATCTTAGTAAATGCCATTTAGTTGGAGACATAAGATGACACCAACTACACCCCATAGACATCAGTTTCTGACAGGGGGGAAGAGAAGGGCAGAAACCAATCCATCTACCATAAGTTAGGAATTCCAAAACATGATACGCGGCCCTTCACCATCTTGCAAGTCAGCTAAATGAGATATGGAATCATGGATACCTCAGGTTTCTAACCTCCTTAAAATTAAGCGCAAGTTAATTCTTGGAACTCATGAACCTCTACTCCAAGATATGTTCCATCTATTCACCCACTTGCACCAAAATTTTCTGACATAGGTAACTAGGCTACATTTCAATTTTCAAATGGCCAAGACAATAATGAAATTTCAAATCACCACGACAAAAATAATAGTGCATCATTGCATGGCTTAGTACGCATTATGAAAAAGGGTGTGCGAAAATTCATCAAAATCAACCATTAACAAGATATGTTAAGAAAGAAGAACATCCTTGCATAACATAATAGATAAAGAATTAGTAGGCTATTACTACTTGAAAGCAGTTTCACATGATTATCATCCAAAACTCAACCCAAGAAAAGCTAAATAACTGTACAGGAGAAATGATAAGGCACGAAACATTTTTCAAATGGACAATGCATACCTCAGTCATCATTTGGGCTTGCTTGCCAAGGTCCTCACTGAAAGGATAGCGGTTGGCCCCAAAAGCTTCACATATTTTAAGGATCTTGCTTTTTGCTCTTTCCCCGGAATAGAAGACAACAAATACATTTTTCTCAGTCTGCAATTTTAGTTACAACATTAGTTTTCAAAGTAAAACCGAGAGGAAAAGCAAATGGAAAAGATCACGATTTCATGTTGGCTAAATTATCAGCTAAGTAAATCTAAAAGTTAAACAATATTTACATAGTGCATTAAGCATTATTTTCACATATCTAGAAATCAGATTCAGGATTCACATTTGTAAAAATTTTCTAAGCATAAGATAAAACAGAAATTACATGACGAAAGAAAAAAAATAAACTCAAGTATTACTGCCACCACTTGCTTCGTATCTAGCAAATAATGTAAATGTGGAACAGATTCAACAGAAGCACCTCACCTTTTCTCCTGAGACGGGATCAACAACAGGCTCCTCAACAACAGACTGCCGGATAAAGATGTTACCCCTAGTTGCACGAAAGAGGATCCTCTCAAACAACATTGACTTCTCACGAGGCACGAGGCCAGTCAGAAATCCAAGCTTCACTTGCTTTGATGAATCAACAGACTTCTCCTGTTAGACATGACAGAAAGTTGTTACTTTATAGCATACTAAACAAGAAGACACAACTTTTAAGTGAGGAAACAGTTCCAGTTATCGTACTTCCTGCAACAATGGAACCTCCAGGGCGTCTTCACCTGCTTGACGTGATTCCATCTCTTGGTGATGAGCTGTAGCACTTTGATGGGCATAAGAAAAAAACTCACCAGCCTGAAAGAAAGAAAAAAGAACATTTAAGTAAATATAGCACGAGATGTGTGTTCGACCATAACCGAACATGTCCACATTTGCACCGGCAAAAGAACCACATACTATCAAATTGTCTTCCTTAGGATTGCTATCAAGGGTTACAAAGTACAAGAACACAAGATAGCAACAAAGTAACCGAACACAACATGAGTCCTTTTCTGTAAACAAGATCATTCGTCCTCTGTGAAACAATATAGCATCTTTGAGACTATGAATGAGACAGAATGAAAATATATACCTTTTGAAGGACCATCTTGTACTCCACAAGTTCATTATAAGAACGCTGCAATTTGTCGTTATTTGCATTGATTTCAACCAGTTCAGCCTCTAAGTCTCCAAGTTTTACCTAACCAGCCAAAGAGGAGGAAGAGGATAAGTAGGAGAAATCGAAAACATGCCATGCCAACATCACAAGCATGGTGCAGCCAAACATCAACAGCAGGTTTCTCAATTCACCTCTAGATCATCAAAGTCGAGATCATCTCCTTTCTCCAGTATTATTTTGGGGGAGACTCCAGCCTTTGACATTTGCTCCTTGAAGAATCGTACCTTTCGGGCCATCTCCCCACATCTTTTTATCTTCGTGTCATTATTGCACAAAGAAGGATCATTATTCCAAGCTATACTTCCTTTAAAAGAGATGATGTTGTATAATCATTCTCAGTTTCACAAACATGACCTTACCTGAGCAGCATAAGTACGCTGAAATGGGCTCTTATCTGAGTTGAGCTGAAATAAACATTGAAATAGACAAAGAAGAACAGGGTCACGTATTAGCTGATAAAGTTGTCAACAAACTACATTACAATCACCAAAAACAGTGAACAAGAAACTCTATTAAGGAAATTCTATTAAATACCAAAACTTAACAAGAAAACCTGTAGACCAAACGCTACATCCGATATGATTAATTCCGCAAAAGAATGCCATGGTAGGGTAACCCCCAAAAAGAACTTGAAAATCCCATCCAGGTTAACCTTAACCTAACGAGCAACGAGCAACAAAGAAAGCAATATTCACAGAAAAACCAGCAAAGGAAGATTGGGATAACGATACGCCGATTCCTCGATGGAAAAATATCCAAAACCTAGGGTTTCACAGTTGAAGTCCAACTACCATAAATCCCGCCGATCGCAATGGAAGACCAAAATTAACACAGAAACATCTCAACAGATGCCGCGGAAAAGAAAATCGATAACATCGCAAACAGACACGCCCGAGGCCACAAGTAGATAAACGGAGGACAAGGATAAATGATGAGAGAAATTGTACGAACATCTTTGAACTGGACGAGGCCGAGATCCCCAAGGTAAGAGACGGTGAGATGGGCAGATTCCACGGGAATAATGAGCTGAACAAGTTGCATCGGCTCCGACCGCATCAGATCCATCGGCGGACAGCAACCACCACCGCGACTCTCCCCCATCACTGCTTCTCCTTCTTCGCCGAACGTCAAATCAGAATGCTACCGGTGGGAATACCGATCTCGATCTTGGATTGGGGATCGTCTCAGTCGAACAGCCGAGAAAGACGCCGATAATGTCAGAAGGGGAGGGGAGGAGAGAGAGAGGAGGGAGCTGTAAATTTGTCTGCGTCGTCGATGTCGTCTCGCGTAGTTCGTGCCACGTATAATAATATATCTACAGGGTAAATCTGTTTTAACAGTCAGATTCTGATATATTATTATGAAGGCAAGTTTTCCAATTAATAATAGGAGTGGGTTCTAGTTAAGTGGGCCCTTCGGATTAATAGTGGGCTTGAAGTTTGGTCCAATATTCGGAAAACGTTTGGCCCATATCAAAAGCCTACATGTATTATTTGGCCCCTTTGAGGAGGATTATGTACAAAAAGATTAGGACTATATGGAATTTATATGGGAACGCTACAAAGTCAGAAAACACAGGCATGTGTATATATATATATATATATATATATATATATGTAGTACATACACACCCCAAAATGTAAAGAAGAGGTAACTATTGTATCAGAAATCTGGCCATTCAACAAGCAATGTAGCAAAGAAGAAGAAAAATACAAACCCAAAATGTAATGCAAAAAAAAAAAACTATAGAAATTCTCAGAAGTCAAAATTCTTACAAGTGACAACTAAAGATATATATAACCCGCAAACTGCAAAGAAGAAGCCCATTTAACCCACCTTTGCTATTTAAACATACAAAAAGAATCTCTTACTTGCCTCGCCAGCCACTGCAGAGAATTTGTTCCCTGAAGAATGATTCAACGGACTTGAGAAGGGGAGCATAGCAATCCCGAAGCATCTGCTCCTACAACCGCGAGATCACACACAGAACAGAGCTTTCCCTCATGGCTTGGCACGAACCTCGCTGTGCAGTACGGACATGACACATCCTTCTGTCCCCTGTAGATCGGTACATATGTCCCCCCACATATCACGAAAGGGTTTCTGAAATCGTAGTTAAGCTTGGATGCGTCCGTCATGTTGCGTTCCGAGGCCTGCACGACTTGCCTCGCCATCTTGGCTTGGCTCTCCACCGCCGGGTTTGTCTCCAGTAATCTCCTTGCAAAGTTGGAAGCGGTTGCGAGGTTCTTGGCCTTGTAGCAGACGCTCATTGCACTGAGAAGGGCAAGCCGGAGGTGAGGCGTTTGTAGGTTGCAGTGTGTGAAATATGCGGCCAGCTCCTGCTGCCGAATGGGATCGTCTTTCATTTCCCTCCTCTTGAGCTCCATTTGCAAACCAAGAACGTATTCTTTCACTATAATGATAAGTTCCTTAACCTCGTCGACTTCTCTCCTTGTCTCCACTACTACAAGTGGGATGGTGTGGAGGATTGATAGGAACATACGTAGAGCCTCTGTGAACTTTCCGGCTGTCGTAGCTTTGTAACCGGCCTTGAGCTTCTCTTCCAGCTGGGAGAAATTGTAGACAAGGGCTGGTGGGCCACGGACATTGGGACTGGTGGAATCATTCCACCCACGCTCGATGGCAAACGAAACCACTGGGGAAGAAGAAAACGCACGCAGATAGCTGTGGCTGCCAGCAAACAGATCAAGAAACATAGATTTCAACGGCGTAAAGTTCTTTATGCCGAGCTGTCTGTTTAGCAAACGCATTGAGGTGTCAAAGCTCCCGGCAGCTGCATGCTCAGCAGCAAGAGATGATTTCTGGGTCCATATTTGACTTACGGGCATCCCTGGAGTCGGAGCCACAAACACTGATGAACGTGCATTAGACGACACCTTCTGTGTTTCAAGCTCTGGTGGGAGTTCCAGGTCTTCAAGTTCCCATCCACCTTCCTCCTCGTCGTTTTCTTCGCCTGCTTCTGCATCCTCCAGAATTGCTTCCACGTCCCCATTCTGTAATCCATCAACATCATCCACATCAAGTTCCTCGCCCCAATTTCCTTCACCGCCTTCTTCTTCATCATCAACAGCCCCTCGGGCACTGCTTTCTAGCCCTCCTTCAAATATTCCTTTCATAACTCTCAGAAGAGGCCAATCACCACCGCCAATGACAGGGGGAGGTGGCAGTAGAAGCGATGGAGTTTTACCTTTGGGCAAAGAGGGAACGTTGTCTCCCAACTCAGCCGCCAGACGCTCAGCAATGTCGTGCAAACCATGAACTGAGGCTGTGATATAGGCCAGGGGCAGATGCCCAGCACCCTCCAGGATCTTAACCCGCTCTCTCACATCTCCCAGGTAGAGTGCATCGTGAAACTGACCCATCACGTCGTTCTTCACTTCTGCAATCTTCATCATCTTGGACAGCTTTTCCATGTTGCCAGTGATGAGATACAGGAAAGACAACCTCTCAAAGTTCTTTGTCCGCTGGTAGGCAAACTCCACAATTTTAGCATTACCTTGGCGGAGAGCCTCCACCCCAAGTCTGTACCAGTGATCTTTCTCGTCGATCTCTTTAGCTGCTTCAACGGCGATACTGATGTTACCACTTTCCAAAGCCAGGTTGAACCGAGTCCTTTCATCTTTGACAAAGTGAAGGGCAACTTCGGGAAATCCTTTCTGTTGCAGGTAAGCAATCATAGCCTGCCCACACAATTGGGAATTTCTAATCATGCTCATGACAAGATCATACCTCTTCTTTAACAGCGAAAGCTTGAAAATGTATTCTGTTGCATCAATGGCAATAACCCTATTTTTCCCATCACGGTCCAAGCAGAAGATGTTGTTCCCAGAAACCTTTGTGATATAGATAGGGACATCAAGCGTTCGGATTATTCCACTATCTCCGTTAGGGAGACAATATTTTATATGGTTCAAAGTTGTGTAGATAAATACACCATTGTCATCCCAAGCTCCACTCTTCACACGTATTGTCTCATGAAGGGTGCACTGGTGGACAAGCTTCTTGCTGGCGATGATGATAGTATGCTTGCTGAGTAAAGCCACAGCCTCCATGTCATTAGACCAAACAATGTATCTGACAAATGGGGACTGAAGGTCACCAAGAACCAGTCTTTGCTGAAGGTCAAATATAACTACCCTATCCTCAGATCTGCAAAGCAAATTTCCTGTCCCAGCATAAAAGATAGCATCTGTGGGAATCGGCAGGGAACTCTTTTTAACCACCTCATTCTTGAGATTCTTGACCAGTACCTGATTGGTGCCTTTCTCAAGAACAGCAAACCGATTTCGTGCAATAAATAGCGCAGAACCACCAGAACCCTTCTTTGCCTCTTGCACCAAGTCACTCTTGCCAACACTATCTTTTGGTATGATGTACAACTCATAAGAACCGCCATCCACTTCCGAGCAGACAAGAACTGCATTTTCTGTGGGACTGTAAGACAAAGTCCTAGGACTTTGGTTCAAACTTGCGGTACCAGGCCGTCTAATAGGGATGACTTGAGAGTCTCTTTGGGTCGAGAACTCATAGTACCGCAAAAATCTATCCTTGGCAAAGAACAAGGAATCACCACTAACAGCAAATGCAGGACGTTCCCTCTCAAGTTTAAAAACGATCATACCGTTGTCATGTCCCGCTGCCAATAAATTCATTTCAGGATGAACAGCAAGAATCCAGAATCTGTCATGTTCACGGCGGAAAGTTTGAAGTCCAGTACGCTTGGTAGCATCCCAAACACGGATGCTTTTATCCTCCGAATTAGATACAATTATGTCCTGTTTTGCATGGAACATAACGCATGACACGTTATTCATGTGGCCTCGCAGTGTATCCACTTCCCAGGCCTTAGTGTCTGCGACGACATTGAAAAGCTAACATTAATACTTGAGTTAATACATGATTCACTCCTAGTCTCCTAGAACAGAGGCATAGACAAGATCTATAATCCAATTTATCATACATGATAAGCAAGTAACTTAGTAGAAAAGTAAGTAAAAACCAAGAAGGAAGACCAGGAAAATTACCATTCACGCGCCACAACTTCACTTGACGGTCATCTGCACCAGATACAATGAGAGGCAGTGTGGGATGAAAAGCAGCCCAGTTTACTCCTCTGTCATGACCTTCCAAGACATACTTGACTATCGCATCAACACCCCCAAAAAGATCACTATTCATCTGACCCAACCGCATGATGTCATCAGCAGGAGATACAGTCTTCTTCCTAAGAGCGCCAATATCCCAAACACGGACAGTCTGGTCCAAAGAGGCTGATACAACAAGATCTTCTTTAGGATGAAAGGAAGCGCACATAACATAATGATTGTGACCAGTCAAGACAGCAATACAAGTCCGTGACTGCCAGTTCCAGATGCGTATAGTCTGATCGTCACTAGCACTCACAATCCATGGACACTCGTGGTGAAACTGGACAGTGCGGATATAATCAAGGTGTCCAAGTAGAGTGAAGAGGCATCTGTGCGTTTTGTAGTTCCAAACCTTAATCTTGTAATCATCTCCTGCAACATCCAAAGATGTCATTGCCATAAAACATGTATTTGAAATAAAAGTCAGCGAATGAGACAGAACGAGTAATCTGCTTCAGAACTACTTCACGCGTGCAAGCATTTCTGATAAAATAGCCATCCAGAGAACTTGCCTTCACAGCATACTGTTAGACTCGAAATCATCCAAGGTTGAACGAAAACAATAAAGTAAAGAAACCCAATTTGACAAAAGTTATAAGGAGACATCCCAAACTTCCCGCAACTCAAATATCTTTGTCATATGTACGGGTATAAAAGGCACTGATCTGCAGATATAACGCAAAATCTAGCTTCAGCAGCTTGAATGCGAAAATCCAAGAAGGATTAACTACATTCATGAGTTTAATTCTCAGCAAATAATATTTTAATTTGATTGGAACTTAAGTAAATTCTTCAAACCTATGACAGATGTATCAACTAAATTATCCATAGCAAAGACCACGAGCTATATCTAGAAACCAAGCACAACCAACACACCACTCCAGCGCCAGGCTTTTGGAGTGTCCTGGTCAGAATTTCTCAGATCGATGTCAAATCATCTAATGGACAGTGATGCAATTTACAGGTGAACATCAAGCGCCGACCAGAAGAAATTATACCTCCCGACACGAACAAAGGCTGTGATGTGTGGAAATGAACACCACGAACGGGTCCCTCGTGCTCTTCAAACCTATCGATCAAGGTCCCCATACGATAATCCCACAGCTGGATCACACCGCTGTGCAAACTCGCAAGAATCCATGGCCTTTTACTATGGAAGCTCAGACCCTTAACTCTGTTGCTCTTTGTCTCGAACTTCGTCAGCATGATCCCCGATGACAAAACAGAAACACTCTACAGAAACCAGATCACATAGAACGAATCATGAACCAAACACAAACAATTCCAGTAATCAAAACCGGGAAGATCAAGTGCAAAGTCACCCCGCGCAAAACCTCACACATTTGAAATTAAGGATAGATCTGAACACGTCGAAGAAATGAAACAGGTAAGCGAAATTTCGCGTGATGCAGAGAGAAAGGGATCCACCTCAGATCAAATCAGTTCGAGGAGGAAGCGATTAAACACAACGTCACGCCGGGGATCACCAGCATTACCAGACAAACGTCGGTGTGGATACGCAGAGAGACCGCGCGAGAGAGAGAGGGGGGGGGGGTGAGGGTTTTAGTCGTGTAGATCTGAATTCCCTTCCCGTCAGCTAATTAATTAATTGGGGTACAAAAAAAAAAGGATATATATCCATTTTATTACAAGAAAGAAATGACTTTGCTGTGTTAAAATTTTCATCGACAGATGGATTATGTTAAATAAATACATCCTTACCCATAAATACAGAAAGTTTTTGTTTTCTAAAAATATATATCGATTAGCAATTTTTTTTCAAATGACTGTACAGATACTAACACCGTTCAGATAAAGAGTGCTGATGTGGTTTACCAGATTTTCCACATCAGCATCACATATCAAAACTTTTTCATGTGATTAAAAAATAAAATAAAATTCAAATTAACGTAACTAAAAATAAAAATTTTAATTAAAATTTTAAAAACTATTAAAAATAAAAAAATAAAAATTATAGAATTTTAAAATTTTAAAAGTTTAAAAAATTTAAAAATTTAAAAAATTATATTAAAATATATATATATATATATGACGTATGAATATATATACAAACATATTTTAGTGTGAGTAAAATTAATATATATACTCATTTATACATCCATATATATATATATATATATATATATTCATATTGAGATATATATATTGAAATATATATGTATATGTATATGTATATGTATATATATATATATATATATATATGTATGTATATATGTATATGTATATATATATATATTTTTTATTATATATATGTATATATGTATGTGTATATATTTAATTTTAAATTTTAAAGTTTTAGTTTTTTATTTTTTATTTTTTAATTTAAATTTTAATTTTGAATTTTAATTTAAAATTTAAAATTTTATTTTTAAAATTTTTAAAACTGTAAATTTTGAAATTTAAAATTGTTTGATTTTTTTAATTTTTTTTAATGTTTTTAAAATTTTAAATTTTTTAATTTAAATTTTATTTTTATTGAAGTTAATTTTAATTTTGTTTTTATTTTTTAATGTTATGAAAAAATTTTGATACGTGGAACTGACGTGGAAAATCCGATGAGCCAAGTCAACACTGTTCACCGGAAACTGTTACAGAGTTGACGATATTAGTGTGTATAGTAATTTGGAAGAAAATTGCGAATTGATATATTTTTTTGGAGATAAAAAAATCATATATTTATCAATAAAAAATTAGTAAATTGATATATTTATTTGAAATTTTCAACACAATTATTTTGGTTTGATAGTTAATTTAATTTTTTATAAACTTTAAAAATACATAGATTTATGTAAATATAAACACATTATTAGTGTTCGGCTGACGATTGTCTCGGCCCAACTGTTCAATAACTGATAGCGACAATCGACCCACTAAAGCCCATTATATGAGTTAACGAAATGACATAGTTACATTTGGATTCGGCCCACTTAAGCGTCTCATGGACCTAGTGTTGGTTTAGTGCTCTATGATGTACTGTTTATGAGCTTTATTTAGATACATTTGATGTATTGATACTTTCTATGGTTTATGAGAGTATTTGATTCATTACATGTTCTTGCATACTAGATGTGTTATGAAATCCATGTATCATTATGAATGGTACTTGACTCCCTAGTCTTGTGTCATTATGGGAATGATGATATAATAAGACTAGTATGATGTGTGATTGATGATCATATAGATGATCATAAGTATTTGGATACGATCACAATCATAGGTATTCGTTGGAGAACGGAATACTGGATTGACCCGCATGAGATTGTCACATGGACTAGCGTCATGACTTGAATCTCATATGACGGTTCCATGATTGGATCCTAAGACCTGAGATATCTACGGAATCCAACATGAGGAGTTGCGTACTTTGATTACGTCAAACGTCCTGCGTAACAAGAGGACTATAAAGACGTGTATCAGGTATGAAACGAATCATGTGCTGGATTGTAGATAGTCAAGACGGGATTTGTACCTCTCGTAAAAGAGAGAGATATCGTTGGGCCCCTCGTGTGAGCGAGACTGTAGAAATGTGTGACCGCACTATAGACGAACGTCGTCTATTTCAGACAGTCGAACTCAGTGAACGAGAAAGCAGTCGAATCAGATAAGGTGGCTTGTCCATGCCTTATATTCGACATATGATATCGTGATACAAAAGGATCATCAAACGGAATCATCACTGGCGTTCGTAGGATCACGAACAAACTCTATTCGAGATAGGTAGTCATAGTGTCTTGCTAGAGACCGCCTATGACTTGTGTAACCGAAATAAGAGATTTCGTGTTATACTGCTATATCGGATGAGCCTACAGGGTCACATACACAGGAAAGGACGAATGCGCGAAAAGAGACGAGAAATTCCCGGTGGAGCGGAGGCCAGACCGACCGGTCCAGAAGGTCTGGACCGATCGGTCCAGCTAACCTAGACCGATCGGTCTAGACGTAGACTGGTCGGTCCAGAGGTAACGTGTGAGGTCCGGAAATTATTCCAGACCGATCGGTCCAGGTCACGTCGGAATTTACTAAACTCGCTCTAATTAGGGTTTTAATGTGGAAAAACTTAGGGGAACGCCACCCAACTCTTTTGGGACGAATTTCAGACCCTAGGAAGAGGTTTGGAGAGTGAAAAACCTAAGAAAAAGATCCCTGAATCCTTTGCGCAAAGAAGAAAGCATTCTTCAGTTCTAGCAGACAAGTTCCAACCGTTGGAATCCTTTCCGCCGTGTGGATACGTGTAGAGGGCAAAATATTTGTCCTGCCTACAGTGATCGGACGAACATATCAATTGATACAAGCCCCGGATCGATTGAGGTAAGCGTTCTAACGTTTCTACAAGATCATGCATGATAGGTTTTAGGGTTTTATCAAATTTTTGTTTTACATCCGCTGCGAAAACCTTAGAACCGATCTCTTAGGAATAGGATTCGCTCATGAGATCCCAGGAAAATCCAACACCTAGGGATGTCAATTGGGTTGCCCAACCCATTAGGGTCCAACCCATTTGGATTTGAAGGATAAACGGTTTGGGTTGGATCGATCCGTTAATAATAGTGGGTTGGATTGGGTCGACCCATTAAACCCATATAAACCATATAAACCCATTTATATATTCACAAATTACTTATACATATGTATAACTATTAATATATATACTCATATAACCTAGAAATTATCATTTTAATATTCGATTTGGTTTATCGGTATACAAAATCGGATATTATATTATATTCGAAAGTTTATAAAAAAATTATATATTTCTTTAAAAAAATCAGAAGTTTTGATTTTTTAAATTCGATTCGGTTCGGTTCGAAAACGATACCGATTTTTTCAATATGATTCGATTCATAAATGGTACCGACTTTGCTAGTATGATACGAATTTTCGGTACGATTTGATGCGATAATGACACCGAGTTCTTCGGTACGATTCAATTCAGAATGGTACCGCGTTTTTTATACGATTCAAATTTTTCGGCATAATTCGATTCGGAAATGCCACCGAGTTTTTCGATACGATTCGATTCGGAAACAAAACCAATTTTTTCGGTTCGATTCGGAACGGTATCGAGTTTTTTTATACGATTCAAATTTTCTAACAAAATGCCACTAAGTTTTTCGATACGATTCGAAAACAAAACCAATTTTTTCGGTTCGATTCGGAATGCTTTCGAGTTTTTTTATACGATTCGAATTTTCCGGTAAAATGCCACCGAGTTTTTCGATACGATTCGATTCAGAAACAAAACCAATTTTTTCGGTTCGATTCGGAACAGTATCGAGTTTTTTTATACGATTCGAATTTTTCGGCACGATTTGATGCGAAAACGACACCAAATTTTTCGGTATGATTCGATTCGCAGCAGTATCAAGTTTTTCGACACGATTCAAATTTTTCAATACGATTCGAAAACAAAACCGAATTTTTTGGTACGATTTGATTTAAAAACGATACCAAATATTTCGATTTAATTCATATGGATATATATGTATATATATAAATATCTATATATATGTTAATTTTATATATCTAAAGTTTAATTTTAACTAAATATATAATGAGTTTAATGGGTCAAAATCCATTTAATCCATTTAAAAAAATTTAACCAAATGGGCTAACCCATTTGGGTTTATAAGTGGGTTGGGTTGAGTCGACCCTTATAACCCGACCCATTTTGACAACTCTATATGGACCCTTCAATTGTTTTATATGAATATTTTCCGTGTATATGTATAGACGTAAAACTGTACTAATACTGATCAAATTAGTCAATCATCTGAGCCAACGAACACACTCGGAAACACAACCGATTCCTTCAAGCTCACAGACCAAACCAGTCCGGACCGGTATCAATCTCCAACCAAATCAGAAGGACGAATAGCACGAGCAAAGGCTACTATCGGAGTAACTGATGGAGGCATTGCCTGTGGAGGACTTGCTTCATCAGCATATCTCTGACCACAACAACAGCTTATACTACATGGCATTGGCATGTGATGCTTCACATTACCATGCATTCTGTGAACAAAAGCCTTTTTCTTGATTTCGGGGCTTTTCTTCTTTGAGCATCAGAGAATCTTTTTTTCTTTCCTGCACCTGTTTTTCCTAATGGTAACTACATATATAGGGATCCGCTTGCTTGGTGAAAGTAACGAAGTGCATTCAAAGAACGGGGGGAGGGGATTAGAAATGGCCGAGGGACGGTGAACCAAACTCGTGAATATATTATGAAAATTAAGAAAGGACCGTTCGGAAAATGAAATGTTATTTTTTTTTTTGCATTTCGTAAAAATCAACCTAATATTATTGCCCCTTTTAGGACGGGAAATACAGGAACTATCCACGTATATATACCCTTTTCTTCAATATTATGACAACACATACGTACAAAAGCCGAAACAAGTCAACAAAAGAATCCGAACCTGCCCTTTCGGAAAATAGCGACAGGCAGCAGACCAGACCAGACCACACTGTTTCGGGACCCTGCAAGTTTCGGACATTCCCAGAAAAGCCAACACATGTGAGGCGCTGAACATAAAATGAGCTTCTTTTTTTTTTTTTATGAAAAGCTTCTTCTTTTTTTTATTACTATTTACTACCATTCGGGCTAGAATATGGATTTTGAAAAATCCACCATTGGGTTCCATGATCATTTTGCTTCTTTAAAATTTATCTCTTTACGTCATTGGATAAAGCACAGCTTGCCAAATATCCAAAATCTGTCAAGATAAAGAAATCACCTTAGTTGCCGAGGGGTCAAGACGGGAATGCAAACAACCGATCAGATATCTTTGTGCGGCAAATCGGGCACTCCGAGCAAGCGAGGGAACAAGATTTACAAACTGCAAAAAAAAAAAAAATGAGAAACGAAACAATAGGACGCAAACACATGATTGTAGAAGATTAACTTACGGCAGAAATGGCGGCATGGGAGTAGAATTGCTGCAGTTTGCGACTCGAAACAGACTTTACACATGTGAGAGTTTGCGTCCCCGTTTCCATGGGATTTCATCTCTTTCTCCTTCATCTCTTGCATCCTTGCCTGCAAATCAACCTCATGCAGAATGTTTCAGACTTCTTTCTTTGAACAATCAAATTATCGCATGCACGGTCGCATGTATTTATGCATCATGTATGCATATGCATGTCATACAATTTATGGACTGAGAGTGCTGAGGAATCAAAGGTATAATGAAAATCACCTTCAAACGAGCAACAAGAGGCTCCTCTTTTGGTGCCTCGTTGGCCTTGACTGCTACAACTTCTTCGGATTCTTTCGGAGTATCTGACACTTGTCGCTCTTTCAGGACTGTATTGTTGCTATAAGCGTTCTCTAATTCTTTTGCTTTCGCTTCTTTTACGGTGTCTGTACCATTCGGCCATCTCTCATCAGTCTTCTTCAGCTCTGGCAAGGCACCGCCATCTTTCTTCAATTTGGCAACAAGTACCCACATGTTAGCCAAATCGTTTTCCAGAACCTCCTCTCTTCTCTTTGCTTCTTCCATCTTTTTTCTATACTCGTCTTCTATGAACTCTTTCTCTGCCAATGCGGCCTCCAGAGCTGCCTCTCGTTGTTTCCTCGCCTGCAACTCCATTTTCATATCTTCTGGATCGAGACTCCACGAGTCAAAGTCATCTCCTACCAGCCCATTTATTTCAGTGGATCGACCTGAGAGTCTGACCTTTCTCCCAGGTCTCGTTCCATCGTTATACTTGCGGTTTGCACCGTTAACAGTGTTTCGTGCATGAGCCAGATCTCTAGCAGTTGCTAGTTCTTTTTCTAGCTTCGTGTTTTGTAGTGAAAGCTTTGTTACTTCTCCAGCCAAATTCTTTAGCTCAACAGCAGCAGCAGATGCCAGTTCCTTAGCATATGAAGCTTCTTCTGCTAGTTTTTGATTTTGCACTCGCAACCCACTGTTCTCTTCCACAATCTGTACATGCTCTAGCTTCAATTTCTCGTTTTGAATCTCCTAATGTATAAATTGTGAACATTCATGTAAGTACAGTGAGAAGGTCAGTGTAAATATATGTATTATGTCTCCTTGTCTGAGTAGATAGGTTAAAGGTGTGTTCATACTCATGAGACTCTAAGTTTGTAGATTGGACGGGATGGTAGTAACAAGAAAATCACCTGAGTCTGTATTTTCTGTTTCAGCTCATCCACATACTCTCCAGATACAGCGCTTCCAGAAGACGATGGTGAGGATTTCTCATTGGATAGAGCATTCAACCGTTGCTCGAGAAGTTTAACCTTCTCTTGCAATTCATTGTTCTCAGCACACTGCATTGTTATGAAAATGCACGTATATAATATTTTGAAGCAGGAAAGGTTCAGGGTGCATTCCCAAAATAGCAGAAAAATACCAAAGGACAATGGAGTATAAGAGAAGTCAGAGAAGAAAAACATCATACAATCGACATTAAAGAGGGAAAATAAGATACCGACCTTTTTCTGTAGTTGATCCTGGAGAATGCGATTATCCGCCGATTTGATCTGCGCCACAGGTATAAGCAGATTAATCAAATGATGACACTGGGAAATATTCCATTTTGGCTTCAGAAAACAAGATGTTTCCTTCAACAACCAGCATAAATTTTACCTCCAGCTCAAAGCTCTTTTCATTGCACTGGGTCATCAATGTCATAACTTTCTGTAACCACCAAAATAACATGTATAGGTGGCATTACCTGATTTTCAGTTCCAACCAAACTTCAAATTAAAACACCATAAGGGGTAGATTATCAGTGATACCTGTTGCATCTCAACCAATGATGCATTAGCAATTGAAGCTTCACCACTTTCAATTATACGCTGTTCCAAAACCCTCATTTGTCTTTGCTTTTCTTGAATCTCTCGTTCCAAATTCTGGATCTGTAAGAGAGAATTTATCCAGTTTACATATTTAAGCCGGACCACAAATAAAACAAAAGCAGAAAATACTAACAATCACCAGGTCTTGACATGCATTTCTCAAGGTAGATACCGACTCGAGCACAATACTAATACTATGAGCACAAGAAATTGCAGGAAGAGTATTTACTTGGGTTTGTGAGTTTTCAGGATCATTTACAGATTGATCCACCAAACGCTTTAATGTGCTTGTGCTGAATGCTATCTCACCAGCAAGCATCTTAACCTGCTCAACTAGGAGGTCCATTTCATCAGATGTAATGCCACCCTGCAAAAACAATTACTATGAGACGCAACTTCTTTCACATGAATTTTTGGAAAAATCACATTAATTGGATGAAATACGAAAGGACAAGCATGCTGGCGAATGAAAATGTTCAAAATAAATTAAAAAGTTTCTACAGGCATAAGTTTCTTTTATTTATCTTCCATGCCACCAAGAGATATGACCACTGAGACAATGTAAAACAAATGCAAGCATGATTTCTAAGATACAACTAGTTACTGACTTGAGTTAATTCTGTCCCAGAACCGGCTGGAGAGTTTTCTTCATTCAACTTGCTGGAAGACCGTCGGTGCCTATGATCAAAGGAAGCATCTAATGGTAGAGCCAGGGCCATAGAAGGAGATGACAACTTTTCATTATCCAAGAGCAGAGAATCTAACTTCTGAAAGGAAAAAATAAGATTGTATGACTGATTGCAGCTTGAAATGGCTTGTCAAATAAAGAAGCAATACAATAATTGCAGAAAAAAGGAACATGGTATAGAGCAACAAAAAATTACACTAAATAAAAGGAAACACACTCGGAGCTCCTCCACATAGTCCATCTCACATAGAATAAAATTAACAAAAACTAGTTAATCACCAAAGGATGCCAGGATTTATCATTTAGGTTACCTCACCAAACAGAAACTTACATCATCTTTACCAGCAGAATGGCTACGCTGGTGGGTTGGCACATCACCTGAACATCCAGGTACAGAATTCTTCGTGGAGACAAGTATGAGCTTCGTAAGCTTTTGGATTCTGCTCATCAAAGCTGCTTTGGCTTCTTCTTCTTCCTCTAATCTTGACTGCATTTTCACTTGGCCTTCTTCCAACTGTTGAAATAAATTGTTAGTTCAATTCATTCAGTGTAGTAGGAACAAAGCCTTATACTCATGAAATAACAAGATTTTGAAGAGATTCAAACCTGCTGCCTTAAGATCATTATCTCTTCATGACTGACACCAGCAAGCATACCCCTCCTTAGCTGATCAAGTTCTTGTTTGAGGTTTGAGATTTCTCTCTGATACTTCTTTATCAATGATTTTTCATCTATAATCTGTTTGGACACAGTACAAGCAAAAGCAATATGTAATTCAGCTTCGATTTACGCTGAGCATACCAAAAGTACTTCACAGTAAAATCTAAAAGATCACCTTATTACGTGAAGCATAAATCTCAACCCTCTTTGCCCTGCTGGCAAATTTCAATGTATTATGAGTTTCTTCCATACTGCTTGAAGCAGGAGTAACTGTACATATGAGCTGTAAAATTAAGGAAAATAGAAAACAAAAGTTACAACTATTTGCTCATTCGCATTAAAATCAATGTGAGTCTAAATATAGCCAATGTAAACAAACCAAACACAGCGATTGATATACTGCTGGAGAGCATGACGCTAAACAACACTGGGAAAACCAACTATGGTTTCTTTAGTCAGTAAAATCACATGTATCACCAGATTGTAATGAATCTCACCGACACATGTCCATGCCCACTCAAGGAAGATTGCAGAAGACGGGTTAGCTTCGAGTCACGATATGGAATATGAGTTGCCTTGCCCTCACTCAGTTTTCCAATCACCTTAATAAAAAAAAATTATAAGAGAGAATTACAATTCAAATTTCCAATAAATAAATCTGAGCATGACCACAGCCAAAGATGTTATCCTCCACGAAAGAAACAGAAAAGGACAACAGTCCATATATATAGGCATCGATACCAAGACAGGCTAGCATGATCTCAACACCTAGGATAACAAAATTGATGATCATAAATACAATTCTATCAACTGCAAATTCCTTTCTGATCCTCTAATGCCACCAAAATGGATATGGCTCAAAATCGAATGGCTCTTCTAAGAAAATTCTAGCAACAAACAGTATAGAACTTATCATTACAGCAGAATAGCAAGCATCAGACAATTGGAAAGACGGATAAAACTGAAAATGGGTGACCTACAGTTCCAAGAGTCAGAAGACTTTTGTTGATGTAGGAACCCTCCTTTCTCCTCAGTCCAGTTGTTTCAGTTTTGGAACTCTCAGATCCAGCCAAGTCAATCAAATTCTAAACAAGGGAGAGAACACATGAGAGATCTCTCGACGCTAGACGAATAATCTTACTCAACCATGATAAACGGAAGGCCCCTTACAAGCTGAGAAAAAATAACTCCATCATACTCATCCCCGTGAGCACTACTTTCAATCATCTGCAAGCAAATGAAGAATTTAGAATTTAGAACACATAACTAGAGGTGAAAACAAAAAAGTTTTAAAGAGACAGTTGAGAAAGTCCAAAGTAGAAAATTTGAAATACTAGTAGATCTGAAGATAGAAGCCGTACCAGCGTAAATATAGTGTGACTTCTACTGCTCAACAGATTGAAGTTATTTGAACCAACATGACGATGCTCTGCCATGAAAATTAAACAAGTATTGAGGAGAAGCAGAAGGGGAAAAAAGAAATAGGAAAGTGCACAAGTGCTCCAGAAACTAGTTATTGTATTTACCTTCCCCAGCTGCAATGAAAGATAATGCATGTCCAGGAGATAAAACGACTTCTTCCTTTATACCCTCTACATAAGTTCCCTGGAAGCGGTAATCAAGAATGGATACAAGTTGAACCGCTTTCGTTTTAGGTTTACTTCATCAACATTCTCATTGTATGAGAAAGATTCAAGTAGTCTGATCTGATAAAGAAGCAAAAAACTTTTTTCCCTCTTTTTTCCCACTCAGATCATAAATGATATAGTCATGTGTTTGAATGCATGTGACAAATGGACAGAACTGAGCATTTGGTAGTGGTTAAGGCAAACCTGAGAATCCTCTCTGACACGTAAATTTTGGCCAGTTGGATCAAGCAAATCATTTATCACCTGATACAGGGAGATCAGACATCAGACAACTTGCAGACAGATAAAACATATAACTTTTCATGTATCTGAAACCCAGAAAATGATAAGTTATCGTGAATGTTTTCCACTATAAAATAGCTTAGTACTTGATGATAATGAGTGTATATTCTAGTGAGGAAGAAACATAGAAAAAACTGGCCGTAGCCAAAAGTTTATACTCCAGGGCAACATTTAATGTCAGTTTCACACAACCTCAAGAGAAATACTGTAAATGATGAATTGCGGATGAGAAATCAGTTATCACACATACCTCATTATATATTTCAAGATATGAAACACGGAGGAGGAACTCTCGTCCTGGAGTCTGAAATACAGAAAGATACAAGCAGCTAGTACGCATGACAATATCCAAAATGTACTTGAAGAAAGCCAAACATAATGCAAGAGAAAGTTATTCTCAAACAGCATGGCTAGCTTAGGAGTACAATTCTAAAAGAGAAACACCTATGACTCATCGAGTACATCATACAGGTTCTCAAGCAATGGAGTCCATGCATAGGAGCCAACTGACAGCAGAGCAAATTGACAAAGCAAGTAAAACCATCGCAAGTGAAAAAGCATTGTAGCACACATGGACAACATTGTATTATGTAGAAAGCTCAAAGCACAAAATTTGGGAAGTAGAATAAAATGTTGGATGAAAAGAAGCCTGAGCCCCAGTAAGGACAGACAGCACATACATCTTGGATAATGCTGAATACGTCCTTTATTGCCAATGGTATGATCCCAGGAGAGTTTTGATCCCCCTGTATATACAGCAAGAGAATGATGGTAAATTCAAAACAATGATTCAGCCACAAGTATAAATCCACCCAATCTTGCAAATATAAGAATCCAGAACTACTGGACTTCCGATTGATTCAAGCATGGCAGACTAAAATTTATTGACAGCTACAAATATAGCCTTTCATTATTTGTATGGTATCTTTCCC